TAAAACACAGAAAGCAGAGGACTACAATTCTTTGAATTTGCTTGTATAATCTTGATAGATGGAAACATCCTCATATAATGTAGATTCAAGTTTTTTATGCCACACCATGATTAGGAATACATACATGTATAGTTTTTGTCATGTCTGTCCTCCACCCTTCCATCTGTCTTTCCATCGGGCTCAAAGAAACTTTCTAGATATTTTTATCAAAGTTCATATGTTGATGCATACTGATGTAAATATCCACCGGCAGCAATATTTTTTGACTTTGACTTTTCCTTTGACCTTCACATAACTTTTCTTTAAATTAGTGTTTAGCTTTATTTTAAAGAAACCGTTCAAGTTGTGTAATGAAACTGCACATGATGATACATACTGATGTAAGCTTTACAATGCTTCACTCTTTTTTACCTTGACCATTCCTGTGACCTTGACCTCTCTTTTCTAAAATTAATGTCTAGAGCAGTTTTGAATAAACAATTCAAGATATATTTATCAAACTTCATATGCTGATACATACTGCTGAGAGCTATTAATACATCAACTCATTTTGACCTTGTATTTTCCTTTGACCTTGACCTCACTTTTTAAATTATGTGTTTATCTAAGTTTTAAATAAACCATTAATTATAGTTTTATCAAACTTCATATGCTAATAGTAAATTCATACTGATGTAAGCTTTTCAACTGCAACAACATTTTGGCCCAAACCTTTCCTTTGACCTCTCTTTTTTTTTAGAAAAGGTGTTAAGCTCAGCTTCATTAAATCATTCAAGATATTTTTATCAAACATAATATGCTGATATGTATTAGTGAAGCTACTCACCTGCATCAAAAACTTCACCTTGCACATTCCTGTGACCTTGACCTCCATCCTTTTTAATTTGTATTTCGCTTAGTTTTAAAGAAATGATTTAAGACATTTTTAAAACGTCATATTTCGACCCCCATTTGACTCCCCAGGGCAAAATCAAAATTCCAAAACCCTGCTGTACATCAACATGACACTACCAACCATCTCCTAAAAGTTGATTAGGCTACTGTGTAAAATGTAAGAGGAGTTCAGGGAAGACGGGGCTTTTTGCATAAAAAACGTCATATTTCGACCCCCATTTGACTCCCCAGGGCAAAATCAAAATTCCAAAACCCTGCTGTTCATCAACATGACACTACCAACCATCTCCTAAAAGTTGATTAGGCTACTGTGTAAAATGTAAGAGGAGTTCAGGGAAGACGGGGCTTTTTGCATAAAAAACGTCATTTTTCGACCCCCATTTGACCCCCCGGGGCAAAATCAAAATTCCGAAACCTTACTGCACATCTACATGACACCACCAAATATCTCCCAAAAGATGATTAGCCTACTGTGTAAAATGTAAGAGGAGTTCAGGGAAGACGGGGTTTTTTGCATAAAAAACGTCATTTTTTGACCCCCATTTGACCCCCGGGGCAAAATCAAAATTCCGAAACCTTACTGCACATCTACATGACACTACCAACCATCTCCCAAAAGATGATTAGCCTACTGTGTAAAATGTTAGAGGAGTTCAGGGAAGACGGGGCTTTTTGCATTAAAAACATCATTTTTTGACCCCCATTTGACCCCCCGGGGCAAAATCAAAATTCTGAAACCTTACTGCACATCTACATGACACCACCAACCATCTCCCAAAAGATGATTAGCCTACTGTGTAAAATGTAAGAGGAGTTCAAGGAAGACGGGGCTTTTTGCATAAAAAACATCATTTTTCGACCCCCATTTGACCCCCCGGGGCAAAATCAAAATTCCGAAACCTTACTGCACATCTACATGACACCACCAACCATCTCCCAAAAGATGATTAGCCTACTGTGTAAAATGTAAGAGGAGTTCTGGGAAGACGGGGCTTTATGCATAAAAAACGTCATTTTTCGACCCCCATTTGACCCCCCGGGGCAAAATCAAAATTCCGAAACCTTACTGCACATCTACATGACACCACCAACCATCTCCCAAAAGATGATTAGCCTACTGTGTAAAATGTAAGAGGAGTTCAGGGAAGACGGGGCTTTTTGCATAAAAAAGTCATTTTTCGACCCCCATTTGACCCCCCGGGGCAAAATCAAAATTTCGAAACCTTACTGCACATCTACATGACACCACCAACCATCTCCCAAAAGATGATTAGCCTACTGTGTAAAATGTAAGAGGAGTTCAGGGAAGACGGAGCTTTTTGCATAAAAAACATCATTTTTCGACCCCCATTTGACCCCCCGGGGCAAAATCAAAATTCCGAAACTTTACTGCACATCTACATGACACCACAAACCATCTCCAAAAAGATGATTAGCCTACTGTGTAAAATGTAAGAGGAGTTCAGGGAAGAAAAGTGTGACAGACGGACGGACGGACATGAGTAACAACAATATACCCGAACTTTCTTTAGAAAGTGCGGGTATAAAAAGTCAATCTTTTATGTAAAAAATTAAGTGTAAAAAATTAAGTAAATAAATTTTTGTTTCAATCCTCATCTAATCCATGCATGTAAGTTCATATGATTTATAATATACATGGATTTTTCTTAAAAAGCAAGGTCCACACTTATCCAGTATAGTCTAGTCTATAAATTTATTTTATTTAGAATAATAAAATTTATATTACAGAACAACTTGTAACTCCAGCAACACAGCCCAGCCTGTTAATGATAGATTTGCACCAGAGAGGGAACATTGTGACATATCCACAGAAACTTCAGATGACTTCTGTATATATGAAGATAACTCAATTCCATACATTGGTGAAATAGAGGTGTCTGAAGCAAACTCTAATGGTACAAATTTATTCTGATCAGATATTATTAAGATAGATATCAAAATTTTTAATATATTTTTGTGTGAAATGCTATTAACATATGTAAGTCGTGATATCATACAGAAAATACTAACTTTAAATCTGTGTCCATGCACCTTTAAGAAAGAATGGCCGTGTCCTTGTTTTGCTCTAGGCTGGGAAACCCAAAACAGGTGTCGGATCAGATGCAAAATGGCAATATGTTATAAAGATCCTGTGAGAGGCTTATGAGGAGAGTAGCGTATCAGAAACCCTTGGTTAGTGATGATGTGAGAGTCTCATTAAATTTCATTCGATCAGTGGTAAAAAAAAAATGTGCATGGAGATGGATTAAGACACGGGTATTCCAAAGCGTAACAAAAGTACAGCTAGACGCACGGACAGACGGACATCTCCAATCACAATATACCCTCCCGCTTTTTAGGCGGGGTATAATTATACCCAAGAAAACGTCTTGTTACAATGAATACATGTACATTTGTAAAGTGCAGTAGTATATGAAAGATATGACCATAGTGTTTTTTGCAAAAGTGGGTCAAGGTCAAGAGGTCAAATATGTTGGTATCCAAAGAAAGGTCCCTTCACAAGTAATACACAAAGCCTATCTCAGTCAGAAGTTATAGGCTACATGTATGTTAAAGTTTTTTGGGATGGATAGACGGACAGGACAAGATTATATACCCCACATCTCTTATTACTGGGCCATAAGAAACTAGTTTTAATTGTAACGGGGACTGTTACAGATGTTCCCAAAATGCTCCCGAACTCCCTTTTTTGTGCCATATTCCTGTAAGACTTTTTTTAATATGCTCTGTATCGAAGGATTTAATTAAATAATTATAAAAGCTACAATGATATCAACTATATGTCATTTAACGCATTGCACGCGGACGCACGTGCATGCACGATGATCATGGCATGTGGTCTAAACTCTAAATCATTAACATATCTTTATATCCTGGGAATCAATAAAAAATCAAAGAAATATAAATGTTACATTTTAAAAAAAATGGTAATTTTACGGATTGCACGCGCGCGCACGTGCACGCATGCATGTCTTTGCATTCAATTTTGAATTAGTATAATATATATGAATTCATTACACTTATTCATATTGTCTTTCTGATAGTTTTCTATTCATCAATAAAAATATGCATTATTTTAAAGAATGGGGTCGCTGTTGATTGGCATTCAATAGGAATCTGGGCGTACTTGAAAAATGAACATTTTATCGACATGTCACATGTGTTTATTAAATATGTTTTTATTAATTGGGTTCCTGTCCATATGGAAAGGAATACCCCGGTATATTTTCCCGATAGTGAATTTTGATTTGCTAAAAAAATAACTTGAAAATTGGCAAGATCAGACATTTGGTACAAAATGGTACTCTTTTAACAAGTTTTTTCTAGATTTTTTTCTATCTCTGGGTTTTCTCTCCATGATTTTGAAACGTTATTTGTGTGCATTTTAATTCAAAGAAACGAATATACATTTGTAAAATATGAAGAGAAGACCCAGAGACCATAAAAAGTAACTCCCCCCCCCCCCCCCCCAAAAAAAAAAATCCAACTGTTTAAATGTGGTGCTTCTTCGTTTCAGTGTACCAAATCAGTTTAAGTTTTTGAAATTTAGATATTTGAACTAATATATCAACATTCTAAAACTCAAAATCATTTTAGAAATTTGAATTGCTAAGTGTTACACGGACCATTGTTGTTGATGAAAATCAATGTTTGGAATTTAAAAAAAAAAGGTGGTGAAACGGTGAAATTTGGAGCAGAGGGATCTTTCAACTTAAAAGCTAACATTATTGTACTTTTTAAAGAAAATCATTATTATTTAATGTACTGATTATATTAAAATTTAGTCCGTTATTAATTAAATTTTACATTTGAAAATTTCTTCAAGTCATTGATTGATAACTAAATTCATTGTTCTAAAATTATTTAGAGAAGAAGATATTTTCATACGCTGCCATTCCGCACGTAGTTCATGTTAGATTTCAAGTTCAAATTTTCTATTTAAAGTTGTACAACTGTGAGGAGAAAAGAAAAATATGATATTTTAAATTTCTTACATTAAAAATGAGGAATTGTACTTTGAATAGTTCATCGATAATCCCTCCTTAAAATTATAACTTCCTTGTTCATGCATTGAGATATAAAGTATGTCAGCAATGTCTCGGATGGCGGTCATTGCTCTAACCTGTACACTAGTTCTGTTGGATGTTCATGGGCAATATTGGAGCCGGAGTTGTAGGCTATAAAATCAAGCTTTCCTTCAAATAGTAATATATTCATCTGTAGTTAGAAATGATTCAGATATCGTTGATAATGTTTTCGTTTACAGATCAAGTGAGCTTCAGTGATAATCGACGAGTTTATTACCATGGGGATATAATACAGTGCACTGGTAAACGACGGATTTGGCACCCATTTTATCGGTTTTCTGATAGGTATGAAATAGCTGATATTGATATTGTTATCCAACAATATCTGACAAACGGAACACGTGTGGAATTAACGTCATGTCCATTTAGTGACGGTTACCGATGTTCGGCCCATCTCATCGACGACGGATGTAGAGAAGTGAATGTAGCATGTTCAGTTACAAAAAATGAGACGGAGTTTGATAAAATATCAAGGGAGATTGTTATGACCAGTAAATATCATATTTGTATCATCTTTGTCAAATCTTCAATGCTTATATTAATGCACACGTCTCTTTCTCTAAAAAATGACATCTGATTTTTTTTTATGTAGGCAGACCATCCATTAAAGCTTTTCACATTCACTATAAAAATGTGAGTAGTGACAATTACACACAAGTTTTCCCAACGGGAAGTTTAATAGAGTTGATTTGCAGTGGAGATTGATTGATTGATTGTATACTGTTTTACGTCCCTCTCCAGAATATTTCACTGATATGGAGACGTCACCATTGCCGGTGAAGGGCTGCAAATTTGGGCCTATGCTCGGCACTCAGGGCCACTGAGCAGGGAGGGATCTTTATCGTGCCACACCTGCTGTTACACGGGGCCTCGGTTTATACGGTCTCATCCGAAGGACCGCCCCATTTAGTCGCCTTTTACGACAAGCAAGGGGGTACTGAGGACCTATTCTAACCCGGATCCCCACAATTGTAAAAAGAAAAGTTTATGAGGTAAGAAATACAAATACCTTAATTATCATAGATACTGTATAAGTACTTTGACTGGTATCAAAGATTTGTGATTATAAAGGCAAAAATGGAAGTCTTAGTAGACTTGATTTAATGATTAAAGAAGAAACTGCAGCCTTCATTTTCAACCCTTTTTTGGGATGTCAAGTGTTTGAATTTACTAGGTAGAGGTAAATGCTAAATTTAAAACATGATTAGTTATCATGTTGTAAATTACAATCAAACGATTAGTCATCTTATTGTAAATAACGATCCAGTGATTAGTTATCATGTTGTAAATTACAAAACGATTAGTCTTATTATTGTAAATAACGATCAAGTGATTAGTTATCATGTTGTAAATTACAATCAAACGATTAGTCATCTTATTTTAAATAACGATCCAGTGATTAGTTATCATATGTTGTAAATAATGATCTAATGTTTAGTTATCATATGTTGTAAATAATGATCTTATAATTAGTTATCATATATTGTAAATAATGATCCAATGATTAGTTATATCATATGTTGTACATAATGATCCAATAATTAGTAATCAAATGTTGTAAATATTAAATAACTATTCAATGATTAGCCATCATGTTGTAAATAACAATCCAATGTTAAGTAATAATGTTGTAAATAACGATCGAATGGTTAGTCATCATATTGTAAATAATGATCATTATTTATGTTGTAAATAAAAATCCAATGATTAGTTATCATGTGTTGTAAATAACTATCCAATGATTGGTTATCAAGTTGTTGTAACTAACTATCCCATGTTAAGTTATTTTGTTGTAAATAACCATCCAATGTTTACCTTTTATATTGTAAATAACGATCGAATGGTTAGTCATCATGTTGTAAATAGCGATTTAATGATTAGTTATCTTGTAAATAATGATCTAATGATTAGTTATCAGATGTTGTAAATAGCGATCCAATGAATAGTTATCATGTTGCAAATAACGACGCAATGATAAATAATCATGTTGTAAATAGCGATCCAATTTTTGCTTATCTTGTTGTAAATAAAAATCCAATGTTTACCTTTCTTGTTTTAAATATCGATCCATGTTTAGTTATCATGTTGTAAATAACGATCCTATGTTTACCTATCTTTTTAGCAAATAACGATCCAATGTTAAGCTATCTTGTTGTAAATAACGATTCAATGTTTACATTATGTTGTAAATAACTATCCAATGCCAAGTTATCATGTTGTAAATTTTGCCTTTCAGACCTCTCCATCTAGTGCATTCAATATGTGCAATATTAAAGGAACCATCTCACGAAAACAATAAATCATACCCCTCCACGAAAATAAATATTTTAATGTTCGATTTCCTCATTTTTTTGTAACAAAAATTTGTTGTTATATGTTCATATTAATGTTACACGTACATGATATGTTAGGTTCAAAATATGGGTGGGTATAGGCTTATAGGGAATCACAAAAAGTAAAATAACCAAATCTGCAATGCCCTTCAGACCATGTTTGATAAACTGAAATTCATTCATCGTCGTATTTTAGCCAAGGTTAACATTCCAAAGCCTGTATTGCAATTTTCCTTTCTTTATATGAAAAGTACTACTAGGGTAATTACTTAATTGAAAGTATCTCATCCACAAGGTTAAATAATTTATAGTAGGTGGAAATATTATTCATAGATTTATGATTTGATGAATTAAAATGCCTAATGGTGATGTCCGATACTTGTATATAGAACTTTTTTTCAAAATAAATGTGAACACTTGAAAGCATATTTATATTCAGTACGCTGGTATTTGAAGATTAGATGAATTTTGTCTCTAAAGTTTTCTTTTCGTGGTTGTAGAATTTAACATTTCGCTGGAAGAATGGTTTTATGAAAATGCAAAATCCGCCTACAATAAAAACAACCAGTATTTCCAATGAAAAATGCAAAACCGAGCAAACAGTATCTGCCTTTTTGTACTTGAAAGATGAACAATTGGACAAAGAAATAAATTGTCAAACTACTTATTGGCGATTGTTTTGGAAAGGAACAACTCGGAAATCTATAAATATAAAAACAAAACCAGGTAATAGAATAATTACAATGCTACATGTATTTTTGTATTTGTATATAATATGTAAGACACACGACATTGAAACCTGCCGATTTGGATTGTGCTACATGTATGCATGAGAGTCAGTAGACTGATTTTACATTTTCAATATCATTTAAGAGATGCTTAATAAAACTTTCGCCATTCATTGTTTAATACAGATGATCTTAACACTTCACGTAGGTGGATGTGCTTAATATAATAAGACAATATAAATTATTGACTCTGCTCTTATAAGCTTGCCTAAGCTGAAAGCCCTAGTGATTTTACCTATTACTTTTTGTTCATATATCGTTAAGTTTTCAGATTTTTGAATTTTTCTACATAGAACACGTTCGGCATTTATCATTAAAACTTGCCACTACGTATCCTTTGATACGTTTTAAAAAGATGATTTAATTTGAATCATGGTTTTAAAAAGTTAGAATACATGTGATAACCTGCCCTGAGAAAATAGATTTTCAATGTTTTTATTTTGTATTTTTAATTCCTGGAAAAAAATCTCTTTTATCAAAGGGTACGTTGTCAGTAATATTTTTTCTTACACATTCGATAAAATTAAGTTATTGAATAAATTTGACTTATTAATTGTTTTAGGTCACCTTAGCTGAAAGCTAAAGTTAGCTTTCCTGATAACCTTTTGTACTTTGTCTGTCCGTCTGTAAATTTTTCACGATTTCGTCTTTTTCTCAAGAACCATCGGACCAATTTTAACTAATGTCGGTACAAAGCATTTTTGGGTTAACGGAAATTTGATTTGTTAAAATGAAGGCCGTGTCTTCTTCCGAGGGGAGATTATTGAGAAAAGACAAAAATAGGAAGGGGTCATTCATAAGTCTTCTTCTCAATAACCACTGGGCAAAAAGAGTTAAACTTACAAGGAAGCATCCATGGTTATTGTAGATTTTAAATTGTTTAAATCATACCCCAGGAACAGAATGGAATCACAAAAGGGAATCCAAGTTTCATTTTGAAATATGTTGCTTTAAAAAACTCATTTCAAGATCCACTGGTCCAGGTAAGCATAATTTTATGTGAAAGCGTAAAAATGATGTCGCGCTTGGTGCTGGATTAAGTCTTCGAAATTCTTACCTGAATTGCAAAAAGTCTAGATTTCAAAAATACCTTACTTCTCTATCAAGTACATGTGCTCAAGTAGTTGACATCTATATATTTTTTTATATTGAGGTCAAAAGGTCATAGGCCAATGTCGTCAAATTATACATTCTACCTGTGTGTAAAACTTTCATACCTCAGGCTCAGCAATATGTCAAGACTGAGGGTTTTGAGCATTTGCAATAAAAATGACATGACTCCCTATGGCCCTGCCCAACATTCTCAAAGTGTCCCTCACCACCTTTGGCCCCCTCTGGATCCGCTCTTCTTTCTCTGAATTAGCTTGTATTTCTTTCTTCTGGCAAGAGAGAAACCAAATCCTGGGTCCTGTGGTTGTTATAACAGATGAGTTGGAGGATAGATCACTCCAATCTTTGACATGCAAGACTACAACTGATATCCTTAACTCAACAGAGGTAAACTTGACATCACTAAATGAATCAAGTCAGATATCAAAAGAATTTTAAAAAAACTATATTGCAAGATATGGTAGTAATCTTTACCAAAAAAATATCGATACTTCTTCTATGATCTTAAATTTCATATATGTATGTATTTATTTTTCATACATTTTAAGTTATTTATTATTCTAATTTTAGATATTACCATTTGTTACAGGACATTCAGTGGTGCATCAGAAAAGAAAATAACACGCGGTATGTCCCTCTTCCACTTCAAGAAGATCCAAACATTGAAATATTTAATAGATCAACCGAAAAGACAATTAAAAGCAGTGTTCTTTATCAGTTACTGAAAAGCGATGAAAATGTGGAAATTATCTGTGAAACTAACCATTCCAGAACCTGTGGATCAGGCACATTAAGAGGCACGGTTCTTCTAAACTCAGAACCGATCAAAGCACGAAATTTACTTCAAAGTAAGAATTTCGCTGTTCAAATACATAAAATTGCAAGTAATAACTTTGTCATGTTTCAAAAATTAAAAATTCAGTCCATGATACAAAATAACATTTGTTTTTATCGTTTTTTAAATGTCTTTCATTCTGATTTTGGAAATCGTAAAACATATCAAACATCTTATCTGCCAATCAATCAGGGGACTACTAGTAATATAAAATTAAATTTAAATCAGATGATTCACATTTTGTGACTGATATATACTTCACATTGATTATTCATTATAGTTATTTTGAATTACAGATAATACAAATGTTACTTTGGAGCAATCAGATCAGTTAGATAATACATGTCCTACTACAGATGAAACAAACACTATGCTCTATGCCTCAGCTGGTGTGATGACTGCTGGTATAATTATCCTTGTATCAGGAGTCTTTGCTTTTTGCAAAGCGAAGAAAAGAGGTAAATGGACAACACTATAATTTGTCCTGTATGATAATGAAAATAAAAAGCAATGTTCACTTAATGCATAAAATGGCCCTTTGCTTACATCAGTAATTTGACTGTCACCATCTTTCCCATTTCATATATCAAAATAAAGTTGAGACTTAGTGCTTTCATTTCTTACAATAAAATTTCTTATTGAGAATCCACGAATTGGAAAGCAGGCTTTGAGAAAATGCAATGTTCTTAAATTTTGCAAAACGTGCATAGTTGGCTACCTTTAGCAAAGAATTAAAATATGAGCACAACCCATGATACAAAAAAAAAACAAAAAAAAAAAAACAAAAAAAAACGTTTTTTGATCTACAGAAACAGATCTTTTATTATGTATTTGCATATTTTGAATCAGAGGTTGTTCTGTATATAAATATTGAAAAAAAAATACTTCGATTTTAGGCCATTTTGGGAAAATGACGCAATTTATGATGTCATAATGCATTGACTATAGGGAAAATTACGTCATGTTTAATAGATTCACATTCACCGAGAGTCCAAGTGATAAATAATGCATTTTTGGCCTATACTGAGCCATTTTGATATTTAAGAAATTTTCAGAACCAAAAAAGGCCCAAAGTGGATCATGCTATTTTGCTATCTGAATATTATATTTTAATAAGGTTATCGTTAAAGAGAAAAAAGGATAAGACCATTTTTTAAATAAGCAATACAAACGTTGAAAAGGGCTTACACACGAATCCCTGGAAAATCTAGAGGTTGGTTCAGGTGCCTCGGGGGGAGTTAGCATTTTCTGTTGACCGGTCACATCCGCCTTGAACACTTTCTATTGATCAGATAGACAGAACATTTTGTAGTCGAATTGAGTATATAAACAAAGGCCTAACAATTTGTAAGAACATGTGAGCAAAATATGGCCTAATGATGGGATATATTTGTAACAAGGTCAGTAAAACGACAATAGAATCTACAAAAGGTTTTTAAACGAGTTTGCTGAAATCTCTATAACAGAGAGATGACAAAAACCTTTTTAGGATGGAATAGGTTGGGAGATTGCTTGATTGTACGTGTATGTTGTTTTACATCTTGTTCGAAAATTTATCACTTTTATAGAGACGTCACTACATGTATAGACCAGCGAAGGGCTTTTAATTAAAACCTTTAAACAGCACTCCAGCCCATAGAGCAGTGAAGGTTTTTTATTGTGTAAACGTCTATCGTGACAACGGGTATCAGTTTTTAAGAGTAATCCGAAGAACCCGCAACTTTCACTTCAAAGATCCAAGCACTTGGTGAAAGAGCAGTTGCATAAAGCAATATGAGCTGCATTTTTGAGAATTTTATTTTAAAATTGTGTTATTATGATTAATTTGGATGTGATTTAAACCCTTATGATCAATAAAAACACAATAAAGTTTAAACATGTTTCAGAAGAAATTTTTATGTACAATCGAATATACAGTATTATATAAGAAATCATTTATTGTACAACACGACAATAATGCAATTTTGCTTCAATAAAAGCTGATAAAGAGTTCTTCTATCGCAAATATGAACAGCAGAAGTTTATCAATGTTTCACTTTTCTGTCATTGAAATAGTTAATTACAATTTTGCAACAAAATTTTCCGATGTCATACATCCAGCTCATATTGCTTTAAATTTTTTATCGACTTAGTTCAGTTGCGGCCTTGATACGAACACGCGAGTTTCCCATCACGAAACGAGCGCTCTACCGAATGAGCCACCGTGACGGCAATTGTTTGGGAGACGTAAACATCAAATGTGATAACGAAAAAAATAAAGAAAGTGGGGATGGAAAAAGTTGTCCGACTTGCTAAAATTAACCCAGTTACATTTTTTTAAATACTAATTGTGTAGGTAATGATGGTATTCTTTTTTTATTTGTACCGGTATTTCTTATCCTGTCAAAACTTTCTCAAATATCATATAATACTTTCAATATATTTTTTTGATAACTCAATATTGATTTTAAAAATTTTAGTGAAATTCTTTTTACATACCTTTCAAAAGAAGTCACGGTTAAACATTTTCATTAATTTTTGCTTATCAGTAAGAGAATGTAAAAATTTTGTGTTGATATTTTTTTTATCAAAAATAATTCATTTGAAAAATACATTTTAAAAGCTAATATACTTCGAGAGCATAAGCAGGTACATATTTTACTATATTTTTTATTTGGTAGGATTTGTCTTAGAGTGCATATAAAGAATAAACAGTGTAGTAAAGATAAACCAAATTTTAATGAGTTTATGTTTTAGTTACGCTGTCTTTTATTTTTTTTTTTGGGGGGGGGGCGTTCTTAGCTGCTTGGGGGGGGGGGGGGGGGGGCAGAAATTGTTCACATTAAAATGTACTTATTATAAAACTCTGATAAATGTATCTTTGACTGCACATGTACACTTATGAATATTTCATTATCATTTTTAGTGAAAAATGAAACCAGTACTTCATCGTAAGTATTTTTGTTTCCTACCTATACTAGACAAACAATACTTAGCGCCACATAATATGCTTATATTTGTTTGACGAATCAGCTCATGTTAATCTAATTTGTATTTTGTCAAGTGTAGTCAAATAAGCAAATGGACGATCTTGCAAATGAACTGTCATTTACTGAACGTTTTTATTATCTTGGGTAAAAAATTATATTTTTATCGCTTTGCAGGATTTTTTCACTCTGATATATTATTAGAGTTTTTTTCTTGGAAAATATCCCCCTACTGAAGCAAGTTCTAAATTTAAAAAAAAATGATAATAAAATTTCATCTCATTTTTAAATTAATACAAGCTAAGGAAACATGAAAATAAGAAAGTTTTAATTCATTTCCATAAAAAAAGCTTCAGCATTTTTTTTTTTACTTTTTCCATAAAAAGTTGACGCTTTAGTCAATTTATTTTTCAGGTTTTACCTTTAAATTACTTCTTTTTTACTCTGATTAAAGATATCAACTTTATTTCATGAATTACCTTATCAACATAAATATACCCTCTTGATGCCTTACATTTCAGTTTGAATGCTGCTGCGGATAAATCTAACATGCCAAAAGCAAATGCATACAGTTCTGTCGGAAACAATCCAGTCTCACACGAGCATCAGAATCAAATATCATCTGGCGGCCAAACCTATTCGAATGCCCCAGTTCACACAAGGGGAGCAACTATCGGTGTTTATGAATTAACTGATGGCAGTAATGATGGGGAAATGTATGAACCAGTAGTATTACATGATTATGATCCACATGTTTATGAAGGAAAACTCCAAACTGATGAAGTTTATGAAGATGTGTAAACATGAGGAAAATATAAAGAAGCATACATTAAAAGCACAAAAATCAGTTCAATTCTTCTCAAAATAATTTATTAAAGCGAGTGACTGCTTTTCGAAACATAAATTTGACATACATATGTATATACTTCTTAGTCATTTACAAACCATATGTCGAATCCTTTTTTTATTTGAACTTTGCTTTAATCAGTTTAAAAACTTTTGCTTACTCTAATACTATTTTCATATTTCATTTAATATAATACTGATTTTTTTAATCAGGCTAATTTTTGTGCTCGATACAAAGTTAATATTTTTATAACACAAGGTGTCACTTGAACAGATGGGATACAGATATTTCACGCCTTTAAAAGTGTTGCCCTGATAATCCTTTATGTATTCCTTTGATTTAAGCAAAGAATTTTATTGTTGGTAAGTTTTAACCTCAATTACGTATATAATTTGGCATGCATATGCAAGGGGTCTTTGTTTTTTTTTTAATACTGCATTAGACGCCATGATTGACTTTATAGAAAAATTATTACCTTTTAAGAATTTAATGCCAAAACAGAGAGAAATTGAGTAACTGTAGTTGGAATAAAGCATCTGTTGAAAAATTCATAAAAAACAATTGAGTAATTTTCATTTATATCGATACACAATCACTTAACGTAGGAGGGTTACACATTTAGACCTATTCTCTGCATTCAAGACTATTAAGCAGTGAGTGATATTTTTTGTGCCAGAAACCTACCAGTACTGCGAATCGGGACCTCGATGTATACGGCCTCATCCACAGGCCCTTTTCTCATTAAGAGCAATTTAACTTTTTCATGGTTATGATAAATATACCGATATTCCATTTTTTTTACATTACAGATTGTGTTCGTTTTAAATTTATCATTTTTTATTTGTAAATCACATGTGCCAACGGCTGGCTCATATGAGTCTTTCGAATCTGTTGTTCAAAAGAATGATATTGTTAAAGATTTTTTCTTCAAAAAAATCATTTGTGAGCAACAGGTATATTAAGCTTTTTTGTTCATTTGTAATTTTTGTTTGCTTGTATAGTATTCTTCAATCATTTTTTGGATCATACATCATATTTTACGTTATAAATCACCAGTTATGAGTCTTCGTCATTTCTTATATTTAAAGTTGTTTACTTAATGGATAACTTTTAAAAATAAATTATACGTTGTAATTTTATTTTAGCGTTTAAGTCAATTTGAACGCGTTGAGTAGAGCCTTCTTTGCATTGAAAGACATTACAAAGTAATTAATTTCTTTTTACAACAGTACTTAATGTATCAGTTTGTTATATATGTAGACTGAACTCATCAAAAGATGAATTATTTAATGTATTTTTAAATTTTGTACTTTCTGTGAAATTATTGGTCAAACGCACAGTCTTTAGCATACAATATTTGCTAGTCACTTGTGGAATTGGATTTGATCACGAAATTGATTTTAGCCGGTCAGTTTTCCAATCTGATTACAGTAAATAAGAGGTACGTTCAGGTTTAAAAACTATAATACCTCATTTTAGTTTTACTTTGGCGAAAACTCATACTTAAATTTTACTATTTTTTGCTATTTTTTCTGAAGAAAGTTGATTTTTTTCATTTTATTTACATGTATTATGTTCACATTATTTTCAGAATCAAACCATATCTGCATGAAGTGAATACCTGTAAATCTAATTCAGCCCTATGGCTTAAATTGCTAATTAAAACAAATTTTTACCATAATTTTCTTCAGAATACATGAAGCTGCTTGTGAAATAGGAATGCTTTTAATGTTTAGTCATTTAAAACAGTGCTAAAAAAATTAATTTGTTACAAACAAAAGAAATGAAATAGAATAATGATCCCTTTCGAGTCATTAAATCATAAATTACGTAATGTATTGTGCATTGGAGATTTGGAAAAGAATTAAGATTTTTCTTAGCATACCTTTATATTACTTTCGTATATCAGCATGCAAGTAGAAAAAGGATCGTGCACTTTTCATATTATTAAGGTTGAATATCCCTCTCCTAACAGAGATAACATTCTGAAGACATTTTTCCATGAAATTCAATGAATTGTCATGTCAGGATTTACATTAGGCCCATTTTACAGTCAACTCAATCGAGTCTATTCTATCGTACAGATATTGAGTTGTAGTTTCTTTTGCTAACATTTTCATTAATTATTTATAAACGTTTAACTAAAACATTTATACATGTACTCAGTTCCTTTAAACTGTGTAAATCGAGATATTTCTATCTCATAATGTATACGTCATTTAATGTTTACAGAAATTGCAGATGCAGAATTTTTTTTAAAAACATTTCATTAATATTTTGTTTCACTAAAAATATTTTCAAGGGCGATGATAGATAACTCTTGTTGATGGATGTGTATTTTTTTTTACAAGCACAGAAATCAATTTGATATTCTGATTTCAAAAGCAACGCTTCAGTATGTTTTCTAAGGAGAATTATCATAATTTGACTTATTATTAATTTCTGAAAACGTAAGCAATGCTTCATGCTTCAAACTATTTCCATTTGAATCTAATGCTATTGTTGTTTATGAAAATCAATGTTTGGAATTAAAAAAGGGTGAAATTTGGTGAAGAGGGATATTTCACCTTAAGAAGACAATTATGAAAATATTTAAATAGAAATTTGTTTGCATCATTAAATTTTAGTTTTAGTCAAAAGGTAGTTTGTATCCAATACCCTTTTATTTAAAAGACTTCAAAATATTTGAAATACATGAAAATGCTTATCGAATTATTACATTATTTGTAAATTGGTGTGCAATAACTATATTGTAAATTAATGAAGAAGACTTTCAAAGGTCACTTCTGAGGGTATTTAGATTCTGAATCTTTAACATATCTAATTAACTTAGGAAGTAATTCTACTTATTATATATCCGACTATTTCCTGCAGATCCAGGCGTAAAGTTTTCCTACATCTATTGACATTTAAAGTCAATTTCATTATATTATTACAGTACTAAAGTTCAAAGACTTTTCAGTTGATTTGATATATCTTTTGATTCCATTATTTAACGTTTTCAATTTTCAATAGGTATCATTCGACAATTTATTTTTATACCCCCGCAAACGAAGTTTAGGGGGGGGGTATATTGGAATCACCATGTCCGTCTGTCCGTCTGTCCGTCCGTCTGTCTGTCTGTAGACAAGATATTGTCCGGACCGTTTCTCAAAAACTATTGGATAGACTTGTCTGAAAATTTGTACACTTATTATTCACCATATGAAGGTGTGCACCTGGTATTCTCATCATGATTGGATGATTTTTCTGCATTTTACAGGCATTTTTTCTTTTTTATTTTGTTGTTTTGTTTGGCTCATAACTAGAAAACTATTAGACTTACAATCATCTTGGGTAGAAGATGTGTCATTACCTATTTCAAGGTCACTGTGACCTTTAATTAAAGTGAAATTAAAAAAAATAACTGTCTGTTACTATTGAATTAATCAATCCCAAAAAATGTAAGAATGTTACAGTATCCCTATTTAAAACATGTTAAATTAAGAAAATATTTTTTTTTCATTATATACTTTACAGCAATCCATAACAAATGTTATTTTATAAGAGAAAATCTACCTCTCCCAAGGGTATAATTATAAAGCACTGGTCAAGGAGAATTTTGATAACAGAAAATTGCATGTCAATTTAGAGATAAATTAATTAAGCTAACTTGTAGAACATTTCTGATCAAGAACTTGTTATCTGTCTCTTGGGAACTGGGCTAAGGAATCGGCTTTAAATAGTTTTAGTGACTAGCCTAACTTATTTAATGAATTTGAGAAAAAGCAACTTCAATCTAATTTGATATTGTATAATAAACTAATTTGAAATTGTATAAAAAAAAAAACTTAATTGATTTTGTAATATATAATTAAAACTAATTATATTGTGTGTGTATGTGGGGGTGGGGTGGGGGATTGGAATCAGCATGCTCATTCTCCACCTTAATTTCAGATTGAAACTTTTAGTATGATTCCAAATAAATCAAGTATCTAAAAAAAAAATTGGTAGATAGTCCCTACAAATCTTAAGAATCATGCAGGAACCTTATTCAAAATAATGCATCAAGATTAAACAATTTTTTTTCAGTATAAATCTTTGTAACAAATTTATACAAAATCTTTGTTTTCAGATTTAATTTCAGAATGACACATGCAATAATGCATTTTGTTTGCACTACAAAGGAGAAGGTTAAAATCCATTCATCCTTTGATAGCAATTAGTGGACATGCATCCAGTCAAAGATTAATTAATGAGTTCTATGTAGGGAAGCTTAAGCTGTCTCAATCATTTACGTTAGAGCATATCTCTGATCAAGTATCTGTGTCCTTTGGGAATTAAACAGAAGAACTGCTGGTCAGTTTAAATAGCATTTGTCATTTGATGGCCATTCTCCTATTTCTAAAATCAATTTGGTATAGATCAAGTTTTTAAGACATATCAGTTAAATTGATATTTTTTTTTTGAAAATATCAAGTGACCAATTTCATGTCATCATGTCCCACATGAAAGACATGTGCATATGTGTGCGTTTGTGGAGGAGGGGCATTTGTCAAGCTATAATGCAGCCAGTTGATGATTATTTGTTATAATTAAAGCTTGCACCACAGGAGATTTTTAAACAATCTTTATAAGGAATGGGGAAATTACGCAAATCCCTTTAAAGGTTTGACATGATTTTCTTGCACTCTAAACTGTTTATAATAATTGAATGAACAATATTTGATGGGAGTATCATGCTGAGGCTGACTGCACTTTATTATTTTTAAAATGAATTTGATATAAATTTATATAGATTGATTTGATTCTGTATAATGTTTTTTCAACAATCAATTTGCAGAGTATCATGACAAATAGTTGCAATTTATTTTTTCAATGAAATAAAAAAACTGTTACAATGTATTAGTATTGATGTTTTATTTGGTTGCATCTCAGTTTCATTAATTAAAAGAAAATATATAATGAGCACTCAAATTGTTTCTAAGAAAATAGTGAACACCTCTTAATAGATCCATAAATATTTGTGAATTTGCACCTACTCTGAAAAACCCAGCGAGGGTATTTGTCCCTATTGGACAGTTCTAGTTCAATCATGTATTTGCTAGCAGCATCCTTGCTTTGTATCTTTGGATTTTTTTCATTGGAAGCATATGAGCAAAACTGTAAGAAATCAATTCCATATATATCATTATACCCCCCGCTTGAAAAGTGGGGGTATATAGTAATCGGTATTTTTTTATGTTCAAATTCTTTGTTTAAATAAATTTTTATAAAATCGATCTTCACCTGTAATTTTTTTCTTTATAAATAAAGGGTTAACTAATAACATTTTATATAAATATTGCATGTAGTTGAGTGTAACATTGAAAATTTTCACCCCAAGAAAACCATTTTCAACCGAGGCGCAGCTACACTCAACTACACTCAATATTTATTATCTTATACTGAATGGTTTAATAACGAATTAAATTCGTATAAACAAATTCTAAAATTTGTTATAATGTATTTAAATTGTTTCATCAAATTCGCCTTTTGGGGCCTGTAGAAAAG